CCAATTTCTCTGCATTCTATATACGTTGACATTAAAATACCAATTTCGCAGCACAAGGAATAAACATATTATTGATGAAATTTTAGCTATCATAAGGGACGGAGCCGATACGCTTCCATTTTTATTTTTATATTTATTTAATTATTTTTGAGATGAATTCTCGCTCTGTCACCTAGGCTGCAGTGCAGTGGTGAGGTCTCATCTCACTGCAACCTCTGACTCCTGGGTTCAAGCGATTCTCCTTTCTCACCCTCCTAATTAGCTGGGACTACAGGCGGGTGCCACCATGCCTGGCTAATTTTTGTATTTTTAGTACAGACAGGGTTTCATCATGTTGGCCATGCTGGTATTGAACTCCTGACCTTGTGATCCGCCCTCCTTTGGGCCTCCCAAAGTGCTGAGTCACCACACCTGGCCTACACACTTCCTTTATATCAGAGCGGTTTTCAAATCATCAGCATCTTCCGTTCTTACCTGTATGTGTTTGTGCTCTTATCAATCAACTCAACATCCACATTTCCTTCAGGCCCCAGAAACTGATGATTTGTGTAATCTTGTTCAACCTCAGAACCGAGTTTAGCAGCATAAGAGGAAACTATTTGATTCTCTTCTGAGCAAATATCTCCTGAAAAGAAAATATAGACATGTAAGAGGTAAAGAGTTGGAAGAGGCATGGCCCGAAGGACTCCTGGAGGCTGAATTACACAGATGCTGTTGGGATACAGATATCAAATAAGAACAGAGAGTGACCGGAATATGCGGTTCTGCTTCTTTGAATCCAGACAAGGAAAGGCACAAGAATATTCTCTGTTGTGACTAAAAGTATACCCCAAATTCCACAGGGCTTTCTGGGAAGCCAGGCTGGACAGCTTTGGTGGGAGGCACCGTTTGCTGAGGACTGGAACCAATGCACCTACATTTCTACTGGCCCCAAAGAGCAGATGACAGCTTCTGCTGGTGAGGCAAGTCCAGGTCAGAAAAGGATCGAGCTTTTCTGCAAGGTGAAACAGCGTGCATCCTTCCTAGTCCCTGCTGCTGTCCCCAGTCACCAGGACCATCCCCTGGTTCCCCTGAGCATTTCCGTGCCCCTGCAGTGAGACTTACATGTCCCCATTTAAACTGCACAGTGCGCTGTGGCCGAGGTAAGGAAAATCACTCCTGATCTTCACTGCACAAAAGACTCTAAATTGTCTTCTCCACATAAAATAACAGAACATTTCCATCAATCCACATGCCCTTCACTCCTCTCCCTATTAGTCCATTACCTGATTCCTGTCCCTCTGAAGATTCCTGGTGTTCTGATACGCTGGAGGTTGGGATCCCCATGTCACAAAAAGATGAAAAATATCAAGAATTAGTTGATGAAGATGAAGACGATGTTATTAAAAACTAGAGCTGCACCGTCCAGTAGAGTAGCCGCTACCCGGATGTGTGTTTTAAATTTGTATGAATTAAACTTAGGTAAACTTTGGTTTCTCAGTGGCACCATCCACATTTCAACTTCTCGAACACCTACATGTCACTCACGGCGACAACACTGTGTAGCAGAGAATGGAACACTCCTGTCATGACAGAAAGTTCTCTTAGGATGGATCTAGACTATCAAAAAATAGAAGATATTTTGAATGAAGATATCTTTATCCAGATTTATAAATAATGGAGCTACGGTGCTCCCTAGAGCCAAATATATCTTGGCATCTCTTCCTCTTCTCTTTGTCCTGTGCTCATGTTCAACGTGGACACAGCCAGCTTCTCTGGCTTAAATTGATTGCTCCAATTGGTATCATATGATGTTGGAATCAAAGACTGAAGCAGTAATTCACCAATGCACAAAATGCATGCATTTATATTCCAAGTTAGTTCCAAACTTGACCACACCTGGGAAGCTTTAAAAACCACCCAATACCCAGGTCACAGCCCACACCAATTGAATCAGAAGTCTGGAGGTGGCACCAAAGCATCGGGGCTTTCAAAGACTCACAGGTGATTCCAATATTAGCCAACATGGGCTCCATGATCTACAGCGTGAGCCAGTGGTGCGTCAGGGCCCTGGAGAGAAATCTGCCCTAACACAGGCGATCCCTTCTGGAGGAAGGCAACCAACTCCATCAAATTCTCTGCCTTTGGTCTATTCCTCGAGGCATCTGTTTATTTCAACGTGAAAGAGATCAGCAGAAAAATTGACACGTGGATTAGGTTTAAAAAGAGAAGGTACCTGGAGAAGCGGGATGAAGAGAAAGGCTTTACAGCGCTTTTCTCAGAAGGGTTGTGTAGGCAAGTCAAGCATGGAGAGACCCTTGGCCTGACATCCTAAGACTGGTTGCTGTTTGCGGCTACACATTTTGCTGTGGATTCGGGTAGCTAC